CCCAAACACTCCTCTTTTGTCTAGAAAAGCAGATTGCTCAGGCTCGCTCATCCATCAACTGCATGACAGTCTACTGTGCTGTCTCCTCTGGTGTCCAACACTAGGGTCAATAAAGGTTTCTCTCTCCACATTTGGAAGACTAGAAAACTACAGCTTCCAGTAGTTTGGGCTGAACTGTAACACAAAGAAAGGAGCAGCAAAGACAGCAGAGAGACGGCAGCAGCAGAGGCTGGGGAGCAGCAGCACGAACAGGTGATGAGCATCAGCAGGCTGAGCTGCAGAAGCGTCAACCAGTGAGCAGAAGTCAGCTGAAAAAGCCACTCAACACTTCAAGAGCTGCCAGGGCAAGATGGCAGAGGGTGGTGGGAGCAGAGAAACAGCAAGAGAGAGAAGACTGCGGAGACTGGAGAAAACTAAAAGGCTGTAAGGGTCCAGAGAAGACAAAGTATGGGCTCTGGTAGCACAAGAAACAAAAGCTGCAGAAGACCAACCCTCAAAGAGCTTGTAGCTACAGTTTCTATCTAGGTCACACAAAAGCACCCTGTAGATGGGTAACGAAAGCACAGTACTCATTTCCCTAAACCCATACTCAGATCTTGCCAGGAGCCAAACCCAGGAAACTACCTGCTGTCCTAAGAGAACCTAGGAAGTTACCTGCTGTTCTAGAAAGCCTAGTCAGTACAAGGTTAAGAAAGGACATTCACAGGTCTCAGGCCCCAGGAACTTTCCTGGGAGCCGGTTATGACAGTGGGATGGTCTAGGGCAATAAGGATCCAATAGTGAGATAGCCCTAACAATGACCTCACCCAAACTTCCTGGTTTGCTGTCTTTATAACCTGCACCCGAAATTAAAGTTTCAGAGCTTGATCAGAACTCCATCCAGACTTGCTCTCATTCTTTGTGTCTCTTGTCCCTTCATTCTTTCGCTCCCTTCCCTAAGGTCTTGTCGAATCCCCACGGGCCAGGGCAGGATCTTCTATCCAAGTCCTTGTGGGCCAAGGGTAAACTCGCAAAGTTGACATGAAGGAACCTAACTATGTGTTTCTCCTTAAGTTGGGTTGGCTTTTGGTTTTACTACATTCCAATCTGAATGTGATACCCACTGTCTGACCTGTTTCCAGGTCTCCAGCACATAGGAAGGCACTATTGTAAGCTCTCCAGAGGCATCAGGGGAAAAAAAGATACCCAGTTGACATAAACAAGGCCATGAACATTGTACATGGGTAAGTGTGCAGTATGCTAAAAGGTGCAAAGCAGTAGCACATCTAGAAAGAGGCATCAGGATTGCCCAGGGGCTGGAAGAAGGATGAAGTTTCAGACAAGGTCAGTCAATGCAGGATTCAGTGGGGGAAGGGCTCAAGTTGAGAAGAGACATTGCAGACAGAGGAAAAAGTGTGAGGCAGCCTGGGCAAGGCAGAGGAAGAAGCAGGTGCTCTGAGGCCATCATGAGGACTTTGCTTGTTTCAGAAAAATGGGGAATCATTGGAAGGTTTTGAAAAAAGAATTGTGACCTGGCTTGTATAAACAGGAACAATTTTTAAAGCTGCTGGACACAGGTGATAAAGCAACGGTTGAATCCATGTGCTCAACGATGCTCCAGACCAGGAACGGGACAACAAACCTTGTGTCCTGCAGAGCCCAGCCCCAGCCCCAGCCCCAGCTCCAGCTCTGTGATTTTCCTGATGCAGATCTCTTCCAATTCACACTTCATAGTTCATTAGAGAAACAGCTATTTAATATATGTGTTTGTAATTCTCAGAAAAATGTAAAATGACTCAAGCATGCTTCTCAGAACTGCTTTTCTAGTCCTTCGGCACACATCTCTACAGATGCTTAATAAATGTTTATTCAATGGATAAATAATACACCTTGTATTGGGTGAATAATTGCTGTATTCCTTTTATACTCTATACCAATTAGGTAAACATATTCGTTTTGGTTGACACATTTTAAGAACTATTTTTACCTTTTCTTGCCAACCTTAATAATCATTTTAAGCTCCATTGTTTCATCCAGATCATCAATTTGCTTTAAAAAGTTGGATGCAACACGTGCTGTTATATTTGTCATGAGATGAGTTAGGGCCCTAAGTCTGAAATTATCTTGACGTTCACAAGCCTGTGTTCTTCTATCTCCTTAAGATGACAGAGTTGCTCTCACCACTGTCCAATCTCTCTCCCATCTTGAAAACTCCGGAATTCATATTCCCTGAAACACAGTGGCTCTGAAACACGCATCTCTGAGAGGTTTAGGATTTTGGGTTCATGTGTTGAGTGGGATATGGCACAGTAATACCTTGAATAAAACATTTCATTTCTCCCTTTTTCTTTTTTTATTTGATATTTTATTTGTTTACATTTCAGATGTTATCCCCTTTCCCCATTCCACACCCCCCATTTCCCCTTTTTCTTAAGACAAGGTCTTGACATGGAACTCTGTCTGGCCTCAAAGTCACAAGCTTCTCCTTCCACCTCCCAAGTGATGGGATTTCAGATATACAACACAGCCAGCTGAGTAGAACATTTCTGTGGTGATATGTATGATTATTTACATTACGAGGACAGTAAATAGCTTTGCGGCAGTTCATATCAAGTCTCCTTGCCAAACTCATCATAAGAGCAATCTTTTAGTTCTGGTTTGTTTAGTTTTTAAAACTAACAAATCAAAGACCTTGGATGAATTCAGTTGCAGATTTATATAATCATGTAACACTGTTGCTAAAGAAAAGTTGAACGTCCAATTCGTAAAAAGTCTGTTTATTCACAAAAAGCACGGAAGTTATTGGTGTAACTGAAGGACTACAGTTCCCTTGACTGTGGATGGTGTCCCTCAGGGTGCGAGGCACATTTTTCTGGGAAGGAAGAGTCCTAGGAGTCTGTCCTGGCCTTGATGATTGTTGTTGATTAAGTGTGATGCATCTGGCAAGCTGATGCATACTCATTTTAAAATGGAGTTACTGCCTTTACTGGAAGTCAAGTGTTTTAATTAGCTCAAAGCTAACTAGGAAAAGGTAAAAGGATTGATTAGCAGTATCTTTTTATAACAAAGCTCTATCATTTTGATAAATGTAGTATTTACCTTAGTTCATTGAAAAAAATCTTTCTTCATTTCTGACAACTGAAGACCTTGGAAATTGCTAGATTCATGTCATAGACCTAGACGTCCACAGGAGGAGCAAGAGAAGTCTTCACACGCTGCACACTAAGTGGGATCTTGGGATAAGCGTTTACAAGTGCTAATAAGTGGTTGGCCCTTAATTTTAAAATGGCATTTAGTTAGTTAGTTGTGTGTGTGCATACACATGCACATGCATAAATGCATATGCGGAGTGCATATGCGGGTCAGAAGACAACTTACAGGCGTCAGGTTTTTCTTCCTGTCATGTGAGTTTCAGGGATTGAACTCTGGTCACCAGGACTGGCATCAAGGGTTTTTTTTATGATTGAGCTATTTCACTGCTCCTGATTAATACTTTCAAACTTGAGACACAGAGGAGCAAGTCTGGTGTTATAGAATTAGAACATGATCATGAAAACGCTCTTGGCTGAATGTTTAGAAAGTCTTTTTAATAAAATTAAAAATAAAAAACAAAACCCCACAAAAGAACCACAAAACATAGTTTGAAGTCAACAGTCATTGTTACCCAACAGCAGAAAGATGGGGGGAAATCCATTCATATCAAAAGTCCTTCTGAAGATAAATTCACTCCTGTAGTTTTACATCCACATTGAGACCATGGCAATCCTGACACTGTTTTGCCCAAATCTGCTCCTCTGAAATGTGCTTTACTTCCATTCTGAAGCAAGGACTAGGCAGAAGGTTAAGATTTCTCTGAGGGTGGGACAGTGCGTAAGGATCTGCTATCCCCTCTGTCTCCTCCTGTCTGATCTGCTTCTTCACATCCTCCTTCCATCCTTGGCTACCCTGACTCTCTGCAAATGCTCACAGGGTGGGGGTCTGGAGTTGTTTGGTTGAAGGATCTTGCTTTTTTTATGTGGCTCATAGAAAAACTAACTTGCTTCTACACATTTGTATATTTTTCTGAATAAAGTTGCTTAAAACCACATGATATTGTCGAGAATTTAAAGACCTTGTCCTAATTGATGGAGTAAAGTGGAAACCAAATTCTACAACTTTCTAGGAAGCCTGGTGTTAGCTATCCACAGCTCCTGTAAGAGAGAACCAGTGCAATCTCTACAAGAGCTGCGTTGCACTTTTTATAGTGAATGGCAGAAGGAAGGGGGTAGCCTGTGGTACAAGATGAATCACAACATCCAGCTCATTGATCAGCTGCTAAATTTAAAAATAAAGTTTGATTGGAAACGACACTGCTTAGGGAAGGCAGCCTGAGGACAAACGCCCGTGTTTTCTTCTCTCTGGTCTCTGATGTCTTCCCCAGCCACCTGAGTGCGCAGTTGGTCACAGGTTTGTTTTCAGAGGCTGGGCATTTATTGACTTCCTTGTCCAGAAATTCATTTCATCACTGAAAATAATCCCATATTCTGGGAAACCACTCAGCTTCTTCACTGTAATGTCATCATCTGCCTTTGCTACAGGATCACTGTAGCTTTGGGCAAAGCAGGAAAAAAGGTATCTACTCATTTTCAAGATACTTTGGAGCTTGTATTCAATATTTTGATGTAAACCCTTAAAGTCTTTATAGAACAAAGCAAATACTCATAGGTAGAATATAAAACTCACACATTTAATTCTTTAAAAAAATACAAGTGATATGACTCGCACATGTATGTGTACTCCATGTATACCTAAAATCCACAGAAGCCAGAAGAGGGCACAAGGTCCCTGGAACTGGAATTACAGACACTTGTGAGGCACCCTGTGGGTGGTGTGAACTGTATCCAGGTCTTCTGCATGAGCAGTGAGTACTCCGAATAGCTGAGATGTCTCTCCAGCCCTTATATTTACTTCTTTTAAACAAAACCACAAAACTTGACATTGTATGTAACCTTCTTAGAGCTAAGTACCAATGCACATGTTACCTTTATATCCTTGCTCCGTCTCCCTGAGATCAATTTTGGTTATTGGTTTGAAATCAGTGTCCCATAATCGTATGCAACCGTCTCGGCCACCAGTAGCAAAACCCTCTTCACAAGCATACAGACTGAAGATTCCAGCCTGTCAATTAAAAGAGGTCGAATTCAGTCCTGCAGTCACAAATGCCATTGTTGGGTGAATTTCCATGATCAAAAATAACAGAGCAAAACTAAGTAAAGCAGATGCTGTTTTCTGTTGAAATCTGACAGAAGATCAGCATACTTCATCTCAGCTGGATCGCAGTAATTACAGCCACCACCAGGAAGCAAAGTAATTCCAACATATCTAATTTGATAAGATTGTTACTGCCACTGCCAAAAATACTAGTTATGAATGCCTTGGTAAAAGCAGATATAGAATCACATTTCTGTATGACAACTGAGCCTTTTAAATCATGACACTACAAAGGCATCACACTTACGTTCTAAATTGATGAAGTAGAGACACAGACTAGGGGCATGGTACCACCCCATTTACAAGTATAGAGGTGCCTGAGACAGATCTCAGCCTTTCAGGACGGTGTCACTTCCGACAAACCCAAAATCACAAATAGCATCGTGTCAGCATTCTGCACTATGGTACGACTGCCTTGACATATCTAAAATACTTTGACTCTTCTTTTACTTGATTTTTTTAAAAAGCTTGTACATTACATTATGCTGACAGAAACTGGCTGCTGAGGCAACTCATTTAATGAGTGAAGACAAATTCTGACCTCTTAATGATTTTGAGAGTCATTTGGCAATGAAGCCAAGACAAATGGTTTTCATAATAGATGACAAAGAAGGCTCTAAAGTATCTAAACTATTTCACTGAGTTGTCTGAGGTTTTCTTCATGGGAAGAGTAATTAGCTCTGAGATGCAGTTTAATGACAGAGGTCTTGCCTAGTATGCGAGGCTCTGGGTTCAACTGTGGCACTAAAAGAAGTAATGGCGAATGAATTTGAAGGTATTAAACTAAACCATTCTTTATCCTATTTCTACTGTGCCATGTGGGTGCTGGAACCGAACCCAGGTCTTCTGTGAGCAGCAAGTGATCTTAACTACTGAGCCATCTCTCCAGCCCTTATATTTAACTCTCTTAAACTGAAATACAAAACTTAACAGCCCAGGTCCAGAAAAGCAGGCAGTGAAGTTAACCAGATCCTAGGACATTAGCAGGCAGACAGTAATTTAAGAAGTGATGAAGTGGGCTGGTGAGATGGCTCAGTGGTTAAGAGCACTGACTGCTCTTCCAGAGGTCATGAGTTCAAATCCCAGCAACCACATGGTGGCTCACAACCCTCTGCAATGATATCTGATGCCCTCTTGTGGGATGTCTGAAGACAGCTACAGTGTACTTATATATAATAAATAAATAAATAAATAAATAAATAAATAAATAAATGGTTTTAAAAAAACAAGTGATGAAGTATTCTTAGGGCAAACTACTACTGAAGAGAAACACTAATCAACCAATTAAAAGTTAAAATGAAGGCTGGATTCAGTAAGGATTTTTCCCCCCTCAGGTAACAAAGTAACTTGAGAAATCTTCATGAGTGCTTTCATGTATGTGTATGTGTATGTGTATGTGTATGTGTATGTGTATGTGTATGTGTATGTGTATGTG